GTCAGAGGCATTTGGCCTCATTAAAGCCCAACAAAATAAAACAAACACAAAGTCTCTGAGCTAAGCCACTCAAGATGTTACCTATGTAAAACAAACATTTCATTTTAATGGTCAGATTCAATTTGGCTTTTACTCACTCTCTGCACTGTGTACCTGCATAAGGCATCTTCTTGCCATTTAAAAGCAACCTGCCTGTCCTTTCCAATAAACCAAAAATCACCTGATCACCTTCTTTCCCCTCTACTAACAGCTTTGCACACAAAAGAAATAACTGGGGTGATTTTTTAATTTTTTTTTAAGAAACACATAGTTCTTTCAGACATTCCTAGTCTCAAATGTCATACCTATCTTGTTGAAAATTCTGCAGGAAAAGCTGATGCATGCCATTTCATTTACAGACAATATTATGATACCCGTTGTCAACTCTTTTATAATCCTGAAGTTCAAGAGTAATTTTTTGGTTTTGCAATGGAAATTTAGCTTTGGCATTAACAATGGAGAGAATGGGCACATGTACACAGATAACTCAGTCAGACATGAGCTCAGTCAGACCGTACTCCAAGCTGGCCGGACATGAGCCAGCTGTAGTTCACAATTCATGTAGCTGTGTTAGCACAGCACTGTGCCCACACTAATAAAACCTGCTGAGAAGCAGGGTATATTAGGCTGGGCACAGTCCTACACTGTCTGGCCAACTTCAATCAAGGACAGAGGATGCTGAGTCTGTCTGCACACATCCACGTACATATGCACTCCTGCTCTGTAAGACTCCGACTTCTGTGCATCTCTTCTCCTGAAGATTTTTTTCTTAGGTTGTAAACTAGAGGGCTAGTGCACAGCACCATACATTTGAGATTTTAAGTATCCTCCTTGACCATAGCCATGGTTAATTCCTTGTAGCTGTTCCAGTGAAAACTTAAAAAAAAAAAAAAAAAAAAAGAAAAAAAAAAGAGAGAGAGAGAATAATTACTAGCACTACAGGGCAATGAGGGTCTAGGGCAATCGAATGGATTCTATTTACACAAAAGTACTTCCAAGAACTCTGAAACACAACTGTCCTTTATAGTAGTAGTATTTCCCCCAGGCATTTATTCTGTTGTGGAATTCAAGAATTATAACTCAGTTCTTGTCAACATCTCAAAAACAGAGGATGCATTTTAAGTAGTATTCACGTCTATCTCAAAGTAAACAAACAAATAGAAAATTAAGCTATTCATTGGAAAAACAGTGAATCCTAGTTCTTAGAAAAAGCCAGAAAATGAGACTATGAAAAGAGATCAGGTAATACAGCAAATCACTAGTTCTTTAAAGTTTTGCTCCAAAGACACATGCAACTAAACTCATCTTCGCCTGTGCAAGGAATTACTGTGCTCCAAGGATGGAAAAAACCCATGTCTTACTAAACTACTGACACAGAAACCAAAGGACAGGTGTGCATCTCTGAGATCAAATAACTAGCCCAAAAGATCAAGGAATAAAACTGTAACATTAACACATTAATAACATTGCATTTTCCTTAATAACAAATGCCCTGGAGCAGCTTAAGGCTGACACAACTTCTCCATTTTATATTTTCTTCATTTAAAAAGGAGATTAAAAAAACCAAAACAGCCAACCAAAACAGATTTAGTGAGCTACATACTTGATTTTTAGGAAGTGCAGTAAGAAACCATTCAATTATACAAAGCTATCTGTGCCAGCCCCTTCAGTCTTGCCCGTGAAAAGGCAGACAGGATAAAAAAAGCCACTTACTAGAGCATGAGACTTCTCTGTCTGTTTCAGAGTAACTTCTTCTCACCTATCCACTTCTACCTTTAACTTTTCTATTGTCTAAAATAAGCAATCCATGTTTTGAAATGAACTATTGATTGCTGACTAAAAAAAAAAAGTCATGCCAGTATTTAAGATATGTATCTTCAGCAGCTTTCAAACTCAAAGCCATTGATGTGAACAGGAGAAGTTTAGCTTATTCAAAAAGCAAATTTAATAATTTTCTTATACACAACAGTATTTCAAAAATAGAACTCATATCTGCATTTATGCTTCAACATTCATCATTTGGGTCCATTTGTATACTCAAGTGTCACTGTGAATGTAAAACCCATAAAAAGGTATGATCCAAACAAGTTCAGGCAGATTCAGGTACCAACAATCAGAGAACGGTGACAAAGGAAGATGGTTTAAGAAAAGATTTGTGTTAATTTTCATTAGAATAGCCTGCATGCTACAAAATTATTAGATAGTATTAGTCAATATTTAGGTTTGCAATGTTAAGTGATCCGAAATCTAATATGGAGCGTTTATCTCTCAGCTAAAAATTACTTATCTGACTTCAGAAACATAAATTCAGTATTCACAAAGGATTCTATGAGAATGAGATTTTTGAGAGAGTAAAAAATAAGTATTTTTCATTTTGGTTTACAATATATGCAAGAATACTCAAAATACTACTGGCTACAACAAGTTCTAACAAACATTCATTGCTGGTGACAATCAAGACAATGAAATAATTTTTTGGCTAAGTGGCAATGTTGGATATGCACCTATAAAGTACTATAGCTGTAAAGTTCATGTATCGCACACCTGCATGAAAAAAATCTCAGTGCACAATTTTCAGAGAGAAGCTGAACCTTACCCTTAGTGACAGAAGGAATGCTTTTTCCATCTGAATTACTTAAATTGAGTAACTAGTCCATTCAAGTTTGAAAAACTCAGACTTTGAAAATCTGGGAGTTTGTCTTACCCAATCCATCAATTAAAAAAGACGACAGACTAAAAAATGCTTGAAGAGCTATTCTTTAAACCTTAAACAGAACAATGTAAATAGAAACAGTGTTCAGCTTCTAACTACAGCTAATACTTTGTCTTAAATACAAAAATATTTGTTGTCCCCCTGCCCTTTGTTATCCAAGGTATGGAACGGCTCCAGTTAACAAAATATAAGTTGGTTAGAGCTGAATTAGAGAAACAGATAATTTACATCCAAAGAACAACGCAACACAAATAACACACAAAGAACTCACGTATAAAATTTTACCTTTCTTTAAATGCAAAAATCTAATACTACAAGTAAACATAACCAGACTACAGAATTGTTCAGAGGGGGTATACTGTTGTGTTTAGACATGCACATACAACAGGTATATAGTGTCTATGCCACAAAGAAAAATCATCTAGTTCCAACCTCCCCTGCTATGGGCAGGGACCCCTTCCACTAGACCAGGTTGCTCAAAGCCCCATCCAACCTGGCCTTGAACACTTCCAGGGATGCGGCATTCACAGACTCTCTGGGCAACCTGTTCCAGTGCCTTACCACCCTCACAGTGAAGAACTTCTTCCTTACATCTAATCTAAATCTACCTTCTTTCAGTTTAAAGACATTACCCCTTGTCCTATCACTACATGCCCTTGTAAAAAGTCCCTCTTCAGCTTTCTTGTGGGCCCCCTTTAGGTACTGGAAGGCTGCAGTAAGGTCTCCCCGGAGCCTTCTCTCCTCCAGGCTGAACAACCCCAACGCTCAGCCTGTCTTTGTAGGAGAGGTGCTCCAGCCCCCTCTGGCCATCTTCGTGGCCTTCCTCTGGCCTCGCTCTAACAGGTCCATGTCCTACTTACGCTGGGGGCCCCAGACCTGAACGCAGTACTCCAGGTGGGGGCTCATGAGAACAGAGCAGAGGGGCAGAATCACCTCCTTCAACCTGCTGACCACACTTCTTTTGATGCAGCCCAGGATGCGACTGGCTTTCTGGGCTGCGAGCGCACACTGCTGGCTCATACTCACTTTTTTATCCACTAATGCACCCACGTCCTTGTTTGCAGGGCTGCTCAATCCACTCATTGCCCAGCCTGTATTTGTGCTTGGGATTGCCCCGACCCATGTGCAGGACCTTGCACTTGGCCTTGTTGAACTTCATGAGGTTCGCACAGGCCCACCTCTCAAGCCTGTCAAGGTCCCTCTGGATGGCATCCCTTCCCTCCAGCATGTCGACCGCACCACACAGCTTGGTGTGGTCACTGTAATGCCTTAAACGTAATCAAGATCATACAGGGGCGGGGAGGGGAGCAGGCGGATGACAACGACCCAGAAATAAACTAAAGAAAATTAACTTACAATTAATTTAAAATTTATGATTTGAATGAAGACTTCTTGGCTGATTTAAAAAACAGTTAAAAAAATAGTTCAAAATTAACAACTCTTATAGTTTGTCCAGAATGTGAATGAAATGACTTAAGAAGAACTGTACATATTTTTAGAGTCTGGTCAGCTATTCTGCATGTAACATTCGCATATACATCCTACTATTTATCTCCTACCAGGCCAAAAACCCCCTAGTGAATGCACTGTAGAATCAAAAACAAAAGAGTGAAATGCACGTGTAGTTTTCTGTATCACACCCTAACACCAGAAGGCTTGCTGTTAAGTCTCCCTAAAACCAACCTGCAGACATATAACATAGAGCCAACCTACAGTTAAGCCCTTCAAGTGAAGAGCTTCTCAAGTGAAAAGCTGCAATTCAAGTAGGGCACTGAGCAGAAGCTACAGCCAAGAGCCATACTTGAAGCCACACAACATCTCTTTGCCAGAACAGAGAATATTTACTGTCATGACTCTGTCACTACATATCACATTTTAAAGACAGTAATGAACTACTTCACAACAAAGCAAAATTATTATCTTGAAAGTAAGCTATATAGTCCCTATCGAAGAATTAGTTTCTGATCAGCTATCAAAAAACTACTTTTTCTGGCAAAGCTCCACTTGAATTTCCTACTGCCACCAGCCAGTTTTGGAACTGGTAGCAAAAGGCAAATTACTGGCTGTTTTTTCAGTAATTCAATATGTTACATTAATTAATTATGGTTAGCTTGAATTTCCTTTATCGTGAAAAGTCAGAGAATGTAGACATGAATTTGCAGAAGTAATTTTCCAACATGAATACTTGAATGGCACCAAACATCTGAGTTTTAAAAGAGCAATATCAGCAACAATGTGTATTACTTACTGGTATATAATAGATATTCATTTTAGGGGCTTCATTGGCAGTCATTAGCATTCCTAAAAAGAGATTTCCACATTTAAAATATTGGTCACAAGAAGATAACACTACTTTAAAAAAAAAAAAGTATACAGTTGAGGCAGTTAATTCATATGAAGTAGATTTGTACATAGGACTTAAAATACTTTCCAGGAAAAGAAACAGAAAAAATGGAAAATTTGCTGGCACCCAAAAAAAAACCCCAAAAAACCCCACCAAAAACCATTAGCATGGCAACCTGAGTATTTGCAGGGAAAAAAGTCTTCATGGGTTAGAGGAGGAGCGGTGAAATCACATTACCTGTATGTCACTCATACAGTACATATTCTTGGCCTGCAATGGAACAGCTAATTGGGACCCATAATAAATTGTTGCATCAAATGCCAAGGAAAGAAAGGTCTGATAGCAGCACAATTAATGAAGCTTTGTTTCCTACATATTTATCCCCTTTTGTTCTCTATCTTAACTGTTCAAGCAAGCCTAAGTCCTGACAACTGTGAGCTGCCAATTTTCGTAACAAATTTAAATAGTTCATCCCATAATACTGTTTAGAACAAATCCAGTTAGCATTGCACTTAAAACCTACCTTGGGCATAAACTTGTATTATTAATACAAGGGGGGTTGGGTTTTTGTTTTGTTTTTAAACACACACCTACATTCTAAACAAAGTCATAATTCATAACATGGTTTACACCTTTCTTCATATTTCATCTTGGGAAATCAACACAACAGTAGCTTCTCAACACAAAATGAGAGACAGGATATTGTGGCTTCAAATGCAGTAATCTTAGTGATACTAGCCAACCAGGGCAAATGTAAAATTTGAAATATCTATGAATGCACCTAAGAAACACCATGAATAATGGTTGTAAATACTCTGATTATAAAAAAACTACTGTAGAAATATTAAAACCCATGGAAAATCTCCAACCACCAGAAGACTTCATGTTAAGTTCAAAATGAATACTCCTCTCAATTTCCTTCTACATAAGAAAGTAAGAAGGACATTTGGCACATGCTTTTACGTTTATCTCAATTTTGTCTCTCCAGCGTAGCTGATCACCAGGTAATACAAGAGATGGAATATGGAGAAGAAAAGAGCAATCAAGTTAGATAACATTCTGATCTAAAAGTACTGTAACATATGCCACTGAAACTATGAATAATTGGGTCAATTACTACACACCCAGAGGGTGGAAATATAATTTACACCCAACTAGAGGAACGCAATTAACATGGGTGGAGTAATCCTTCCTACCTAATCCTTTTATTAAAAATACACAATGCAGCTGGACTTAAAATGTCAGAAAAAAAGGGGGCTTGCCTTCCTGGCAAAGCAAGAAATTTGTGAAAGCTTAGTCAGCAAACTGAGGCTAAAAGCCATACCCTGAAAGGTTTCCAAGCAATTTAAGGAAAAATCAAGAATTTATACTATATATATATATATACACACACAATGTACTATAGTATATAGATGACATGCTCCCTTAACATACCAGCATGCTCACTACTATTTCAAGAGACAAAGTATTTCTCCATTGACTGAACATGAATCACTAGAGATAAAGGACAGAAATTAATTCTGCAGCTGCTTCAAAGATGACAGTAAAGGGAAAACCTCCTCTTTGAGAGTCTTCCACCAACAATTAAAGGAGGGAAAAACAGACTTCGGAACAGTACATGGGCATATAATACAAGGGAAATAAAAGAATAAAAAAAGGAACAACTCTGTGAAAGGAGAAGTTTATTCCACACATTTTCATTGTTTCAGCTTGTTAGTTTTAACCAGTTTTTATAGGAAGAGGGACCACACCCTAACAAACTACACAGCAGCCTAGTTTGATCACTTTAAAAGGGAAATAAATGAGAACTCTTTTTTTCAGAGAAGAGATTTTAATAAGACCATCTTTGGAAAGTGATCTGCAATACAGTATCATCAATTTAAAGGAATGAAAACACGAGTATGAAGTGGTAGTAAATGGGAGAAGCAATTTTAAAAAATGCAAATTTGTAACTTAAAAAAATTTCTTACAGTAATTGAAACAATTGAGGCACAGATTTCTACACACTGAAGATGCTGTTACGTTTCATTTATATTCTACGACTTAACTGAAGCTGAGTCATGGCTACTCAGCAAGTGGTAAACCTTTTTTCCCCTAACCCCACTCTGTGCATGTGTGATCACAGAAAAGAGATTCATAACTAGTTTAAGAGATCCACTAAAGTTTGTCATCAAGTAGTTTGGTCAAAGCTACACAAGGATTTGCTTCCCATGAAAGGTAATAATACTGAAGCTGGTTGGTAGAATAATTTAATTAAAAAAAAAACACAACAAAAAACAACAGCTACAACAAAACTTCTACAAAACTACTGAAAAAAAAAAATTCACATTATACTGATCCACAGTTTACCATAAATCTTAGAATCACAGAATAGTTTGGGTTGGAAGGGACCTTTAAAGGTCATCTAGTTCAATCCCCCTGCAGTAAGCAGGGACATCTTCAACTAGATCAGGTTGCTCAGAGCCCTGTCCAACCTGACCTTGAATGTTTCCAGGGATGGGCCATCCACAGCCTCTCTGGACAACCTGTTCCAGTGCCTCACCACCCTCATTTTAAAGAATTGCTTCTTTATATCTAATTTAAATCTACCCTCTTCCAGTTTAACACCTATGCCTCTTGTCCTATTGCTACAGACCTTGATAAAAAGTCCCTCTCCATCATTCTTACAAGCCCCCTTTATATACTAGAAGGCTGCTATAAGGTCTCCCTGGAGCCTTCTCTTCTCCAGGCTGAACAACCCCAACTCTCTCAGCCTGTCTTCAGAGGTGTTCCATCCCTCTGATCATTTTTGTGGCCCTCCTCTGGACCCACTCCAACAGGTCCCTGTCCTTCCTGTGCTGAGGACCCCAGAGCTGAACGCAGGACTGCAGGTGGGGTCTCACCAGAGCAGAGCAGAGGGGCAGAATCCCCTCCCTCGACCTGCTGGCCATGCTGCTTTTGATGCAGCCCAGGATACGGTTGGCTTTCTGGGCTGCGAGCGCACATTGCCAGGTCATGTCTAGCTGGCTCATCCACCAGTACCTCCAAGGGCTGCTCTCAATCCCTTCATCCCCCAGTCTGTATTGATACCGGAGGTTGCCCCGACCCATGTGCAGGACCTTGCACTTGGCCTTGTTGAACCTCATGAGGTTCACATGGGCCCAGTTCTTGAGCTTGTCCAGGTCCCTCTGGATGACATCCCATCCCTCAGGTGTGTCAACCGCACCACTCAGCTTGGTGTCATCTGCAAACCTGCTGAGGGTGCACTTGATCCCACTGTCCATGTCATTGATGAAGATATTGAACAGTACTGGTCCCAATACGGATCCCTGAGGGACACCACTTGTCACTGATCTCCATCTGGACATTGAGCCATTGACTACTACCCTTTGGATATGACCATCCAACCAATTCCTCTTCCACCAAACAGTCCGCCCATCAAATCCATCTCTCTCCAATTTAGAGAGAAGGATGTTGTGGGCGACCGTGTCAAAGGCCTTACAGAAGTCCAGACAGATGACATTCATAGCTCTTCCCTTGTCCACTGATGTAGTCACTATTTCAGAAATATTTCAGAATGTTTTATATTACAATGTAGTTTCACTTTTTCATTTCTTTAATTTTTTTTTTTTTTAATTGTGACAAAGCAGTGTGAAAACTATTTCATAAGGGTGAGATTAGGGTAGGGGCTGAGCAGCAGTTTCACATGAACTGTTAAAACACAAACTAGGCAAAGATGTCCTGGGTTTCCTGTGCCATGCTGGCTTTGCAAACATTCAGTGGTGCTCAGAATGCTGGGGCACCAATGAGAGCACTGAGCTGTAGCCATACTGGTACTTAAATGATATTATATTTCCAGCTTTCCACAACTGCAAGCTCATATTACTGAAAGTATTTCCTCATTTTCAGAAGTTCAATCATTATTATTCTTTAAATTCTGAATAAGCACGAGGTGGTGCTAGGCATCTTCAATTCTGGAGCAAGAGTATTTATGACAAACGTGCAATGCACCACCTCTTATCTTAAATATCTTAATTTCCACTGCAACATGTGCTAGTTTTTCCCCCTCTGTCTCCATATGATTATAAAATACAACCTAGTTTTCATCCAACAACAGTTCTTACCAAAAGACATCAGCCTGTCCCCCTACAGACGTGGATAAAGAAAGAACAATAAGAAAAGCAGAACTGACTTAAGGAGGAGACATGGGACAGGACTGGAACGCACAATCTAGATCATTGATCTATAGCACAGACACATGAAAAAGTAACATCCAATAAGCAACATTAGGGAGATATGTGCATTCAATTCTTTGTGCTACAAGATTCTTCCTGCAGAGTATCATGAAAATAGTTTCTGCAAAAGCACTTGAGGCGTGTCTATCTACCATAGAGGCTACAGAGCGTCCACAGTTGAGTAATGTCCATCCTTTGTAGATACTCAAACTTGACTGGTTATGACCTCAGCAACATGATCAGACTTCGAAGTTGGGTCTAACTTCAAGTTTGGCCCTGCTTTGAGCAGGAAAATATATGACACCCAGAGGTCCCTTCCAACCTGAATTATGCTAAGATTCTACATAGTCAAGTAACTAACTTCTGTTTCACTCCCTGTCACGAGCCCTTCATTATCAATGCTGCATGGATGTTAATTCACTCCTGGGTTCTCTTTTGGATCACATCAATAAACTCATCAAACGTAAAACCTGGACAAAATGCTAATGATAATTCACTCCAATTACCTCTCTCTGTAGCTACTACAGATGAGAGAAGATCAGGTTTATCTGCCTCCATGTTGCACAGTCCACACTGTTACCACACATTTATTCTCAAATACACCCAAATGAAGTCATACACACAACCAGCGCACACGAGATGTACCCTCAGCACCATGCCATAAAGTCCCTGTTTTGGCAGGCTTTGATTCTTTGCTTATGTTATTTCTGGCACTTTAATCTGGGAAAAACAAATATATGGAACACAAATAAAAATGGTATCTACGTCTTTTTGAGGGCTCAGAAAAACCTAACCCAATTCCTAAGTAGTAAAACACCATTCTGCTTCAGAGGGGGGCTAAACCTGAGCAGCATGGAAATAAGTTAATATTTTCATCAGCAAGGTCCTGCAGATCATTACAGTTTTGCTGCTGCATAAGGTCAAAAATGCCCAGCATCTCAGCAGGGATCAGTATTTAAGTGCTCATCTTACACAAAACAAAAAACCAAACCAAAACAAAAAAAAAAAAGAGACATTCTTAACTGAAGCTGGCAGAAAAGACAAGTTTTAACTCGTTAGAAATCTCAAATTCACTTATCTACAATCTTGAATTTGAGCTGCTAGTATGAACCAAAGTCCAAGTCCCTCTATCTTCACTGCTACCTCTCTCTAAAATTAAGATAATAGAAGAGTTTGCAACATAGGCATTCTGGGGATCAAGAATTTTGCCCTGTGCCGTGCTAGTGGCCCTAGTTTTTATTTCATCTTGTTCAGTACTGCTTTCTAAAAAGGAAGCAGGTATCACATAGTAGTTAAGAACCAAGCAACTCAGATCAAGCAGGGAAAATTAAGGTCAGTTGCAATCTGAGGTACAATCAAAGCACATGTGCACATACAACTACCATTTTGTAAAATATTTTTACTTATAAGGTAGGATCTGGAAACTGGTTAAAAGTGACCCTCAGTTTTGACCTCTAAACATAACATTATGAGACACAACAAATTTCAAGAGTCACAAAAAGCATGCAAATCTGTGCACTTGGGAATCTACACTTAAAACCAAAGTATTCAATCTAAGGGAGGGCACAAATAGTTGTAAACACTTGTAAAAATTTGTAAACTTGCTGTAAAGAGATTTTTCCTAGCTCTAGAAAGCAAGCTCTAACTCATTTGGGACTTAGCCAAGAGACAAAAGGCCAAAATTCCTATTCCTATAAAACACCTCAGATATCTGAAAGAGCAAAAGAGGTCAATCACTCAATTGACAGCACAGCAGCTTCTAACTGCAAAGAGGCTCCAATTCAATGCAGATGCAGAGGAAACAATGACACTGACTAACAAGTAACCATTTTTTCCTAGCTCTGTCATAAGGAGGAAAGTAGACCCAACTGTATCACCTAAACAGAAAAAAAGACCACAGCTTGGGTTAACATGAGCTCTCCCTTTTGAACTTAGCAAGACATTAATATATTTAACGTACCTGAATTTGGATACAGGCAGACATCATTGATATCACATTCTGGCTCCATTGAAGTAAGTATCTTCCCCTGAAATTGTAGGAAGAAAAACATTACAAAGAACTCCAAACATAATTAAATTTAGTAAATCTAAACATTATGGATAGCCATTACAGAAGCTAAGAAATATGATGGAATAAAGATGGAACAGATTTTGCAGAGCAATAAAATGTTATTGAAGTATCTGAACGTAACACAAGGAACTCAATATTGTATTTTGTCTCTGATCTCTTACAAGGAATGCAGCTTACTGGTTACTGAAGACACAACAACGTACAGCAGCATCTCTAATTTCTCAGCTCACACTTCTGTGTTGAAAATACATGTGTCAGATTTACTTTATTTTATTTCTTGCAAAAGGCAGGGGTGAGGTCCCTAACTTCCTGGCACATTCTCAGTGTAACCCTCATTTTGTTCAACTTCATGGTAGTTTTAAAGCACTTTATTTTGGTAAATATCATTAGCTGAAATGATGGATCGGGAGTGCAATTTGATTCTGGAGCTTGGCTCGTCTACCCTGCTCACATCTACATGAAATAAAATATAGCTCAACACTTTATTTATAATTTATAAACTCAGTATTAAAGAGGTCTAAATATAAAATAAAAGTAGTAAAAGCATCCAGTGGTATCTAGCTTAGATCAGAATTGAAGTTATAAAGGTTATTTAAGAAAAAGGTAAAAGCAGGAAACAACATTCAAAAAAATTAGAATTGGAACAGAGTCTGAAAAACCCAGACAAAATACAGGTGCTCTTACAAGCCAACACACAAGACAGCCAGTAAAGGAAGAGTCTCTAAGAACTGGGCCACAGAATCTGAAGCATGAGAGTACATGCCTACACGGTTCTAAATGAGGGACAGGAACACAGCAAATTTTGATCCTATTCCTCTTTTTTCTTTCCCTGCAGCAATCCCACCTACCTTTCTGGGCCCTCCCTTTCCCTCCCAGTTACATGCTGTTACCCCACCCACCTCTGGTCTCTCCCCGATGATTAATAAGAATCCTCCCCCACCCCGGTCTTAGCAGACAAAAGCCTCATGCTCCCCACCCCAAGGCACGTCTCAGCATGGGGCTATTCTGGTATCAAAGCCATATGCTCTCCACCCCACAGTCTGCCTCTGCAGTTGGTTCCCCGCCAGAGATAGTCAGGAACCAACATCTGGGAGAGGTGGAGCCAGCTGGAACATACTCTAGGAAAGAGTCCAAAGCTATCCTTGCCTTCCAGCAGTAAGAAACCCTCCCTTTTCCCACTGTAGAGGCCACCTGACAAACCTACAGTGTTTCATTCTCAATGAGGGAAATACACATACCTCGGAAAAATAGAGAGAGGCCACTGCAGATGTTTTAAATAATAACCAATAATGTATTTGCTCTTTTAAACAATAAAAAAATAACTGCAGAGGAGCTTACAAAAAAACGCTTGCGATCACAGAAAAAATAAAAGAGGCTGTTGAAAGTTCATGAAGAAGCACAACAATAGAGAAATGACTGTGTGAACAGTCAGAAAAGAGTGCCTCTAAACTACTACAACTGCTCTTGATATGTTTCACTATAAAGCTAGAAAAGCATAGGTGAAGCATGTTTTTTAGAAGGAATACAATGACTAAAGATAGTCCCTCAAACTGAACCAAGTTACAGTAGTATTACTATGAATCTGTGGGGTAACATATTTTGTGCAAGCTTCATTGATGGAAAGGTAAGAAAAAGAACAGCATAATATAATGAAAGAAAGTGTTATGAAAATTAGATTTCAATTTCAGTTAAGAGTTGCAAAAGGCAGGGATAAAGACGTTGCCTGCTGCAACATAATCCATTAATACAGCATAATGCACATTGTTATTTGGATCTAGGCATACTATCTGCTTCAATACCCAAATAGGTTTCTGTGAAAATAAGCAGCACCTGACTTAAATAGGTCATAAACTAAATGATCTACCTTTGAAGTTAGCCCTTCTTTAAGCAGGGAATTCGAAAGACCACGTTTTCTCTGATGAAAAATTGTAACTGGATGTGTTCAAGCACACTGTGAGAAATACAGAAACCAGGGCAATAGCTAAGATACTACTTTTTATGTTTAAATCCTTCTACTGAAAGAAGCATCTTAGGCAGACATGTACGAACAGCTAAAAAATACCTAAGACTATATCTTTATACCTGACAGGCTGTTGAATAACTTCCCAGATGTTGGTTTATTTAGCCAGACAGGACAAAATGCTATGTAAATTAGGACACATTAAAAACCCAACTTCCCTACACTGAATTTCAGCTTTATTATTCAAGCTGCATGAAAAAACAAAAAGAAAGTAAAAATTTAAAAAAATCTGAGTGCAGCAACATAAAAACACTTACTGTATCTTTGTTCCACATTTTTATGATTCGAGAATCTGCAGAGATAATTGAATCCAACTGATGCTGAAACTGAATTGACTTAATAGGCAGGCCATAGTGGTGATCTTTGACTATTAATGGATTACTAGACCGGAGATCATATAACAAAACCTTTAAGAATAAGAAACAGATTAAACTTACAATATTGCAAGATAAAGAGGAAGTCATGCACACCGTATCTTCACTAAAGATTTAACTAAACTTGAGATTTTTTTACTTAAATACATGGACAGGCTTTATGTAAAACAAATAATTTTAAATTCTGAAAACAGCTTATTAAGTGAGCCCAGTTTATTCTGGCAATATATTTTAACCTCAGCATGCTTCAGTCTAGAAAAAATAAAAACAAATTTAAGAGCTCACCATCTTTCTACAGTCTTTTTAATTTCTATTGAAAAAACAAACGGTTTTCAAGGCTCTTAGTATTTCTTAGTAACTAATATTTCACTTTCAGATTCTTGTGCTGTTCTTACAAGATTTAAATTTTCAGACTACCTTCCACATTCAGTGAGCATGACTTTCACTCAGTGAAACACCACAGAATGTAATTTTTTGTTAAGGAAATTAGAGAGTACAGAAACCTACATTTTTATCTCCAAAGTTTTCTACGGAACTCGAGAAAGACCTTAAACCTTTCACACGCGAAGTGTGAATACTAATAATTTTGGGGAAAAAAACATTATCAGTTTGTGCATAAAAAATATTATCTCCAATAAAACTTGCCTGGCATGTATACTAACATTATCACAAATACAACTCTTACATACGTATCTGCTCTTGAGCAAGCTACAGTTTTCTAAACCCATGAAAAGACTGAAGGCAGAATAAAATCCCCATACTCCACTTTAAAAATATGATGGCTATAATGAATAAATGAATCAAAATGATCCTTTATAGAAAGATAAGACAGTAAAAACAATAGCTGAAAGACAATCACTTCTGCTTCTTTAGCCCCATCAAGATAAGCGAAGAGCATATATGTTGCATTGAGAAGGTACTGATACAGTCTCAAAAAGCAGCAACTTCCCTGCATACTTGACTCTTAGGTCCTAAGAAAACTGTAGAATTTGAAGTTATACATACAGTATGTAGGTTGTGAAGATTTTAAGTGGTCCCTACAGTATTCTGAAGAGACGATCATTTGACAAAATTAATCTGCAGTTTACGAATGACTATTACTACTCTCTATATGTAATTTATGCTCTTCTAAATACTTGCATTAATATCTATTTACATTACAACAAGTGCACTCAATGTATGATAGACTTGGACTGGCAACTGCAAGAAGAGGATCTCCTAAGAACTGTTGTAGATGAAATTAAGTCTACCTGCCCAGTAGATGTTCCAACAGCCATATTCAAAGCTCCATCAAATTTCAGTGCTGAAATGGATGGTAGACCATCTATCCTGCAAAGCACAATGCTCATAGTTAGACATTCTTTCAATAAAGGCTGCAAATAACTTTTTAAATGTTAAAAATAGCTAAGATAATTAATGTAAATTAATTTACAGATATCGCTCAGAAATACTACTTCAAAAAGCTGCATTGTTTACATTCAAAACTTGTGGTTGTATAGAAAATTAGCCACTACTACTGAGATCAATAACTAAGAGACTCCTGTGTGACTAAGAAAACCCCTTATTCACACTAGCAATGAGAAGAGAAGACCATGGGCAGGTCATTTTAATGCAAAGTGGGATTTATTTCTAAAAAAAAAAAACAGAACACACTTAAAAAAAGGTAGCCTTTACTCACTCTGTGTCTGCTGTCACACTGCTTAAAGCACAGTCCAACAGCCCAACTCGATTTCTAGTTCTAGGATCCCAGCATTCCACTTTACCCTGAACAGTTTAGAAAATAGGTTTCAAGCTTATGCGACAGATGTCTGGTATTCCAAAAATGTTTAAATAAAATTATGAATTATTTAATCCATGAATAATTAATCAAATTTCCTAGGTTGACATGAGTTGTTCTAATAATGCCATACAAGCTCCACACGTTTCATTTATATTCTTTAAAAATGTGATCTGAATCAAAATCATTAACACTAAATTTCCGAAGATTAATAGGGTACACATGCTAGCTAATTTCTACAGATGGCTACACTGTAAAGCAAGATAACATTATTTTCTCTCCCATCTGCAAAATCTCAAGCATTTCAGAAACCAAGGTAGCTCAGAAATACCTGCACTATGCTCTAAGAAGTCATCTTGTTTAACAGATCTATACTTAACATAGCAAATGAGATCAAATTAATTCATTAGGTTCCTGTCATGATTTCTTCTTAGCCTCATGCAAACTAATATAAAAAAGAAACAAGCACTACTGCCCTTCTTATAAAAGGAATGTAAACATTTACCTCAGCTGTCCCCATAGCAAACAAGAAGTGTACAGGATTTATGTCACAGATATTACTCTCTCTAAAATAGAAAAAGGAGCAAATTTAATGACATCAGAATAATTTAACACATGAACAACTAAATGTACACTATTGCTCAGCCTGGAAAAGGAAAAGCTGGAGGGGAGGAATGGATAGCCATGTAATAGCAGCTTCCCATACATACATTAAGAGAAGCTTACCAAGAATTTGAAGCCATCAGAGACAGCGCTGATTACTTTGAACAGGTAAGGTTCCAGCTGGATGTAAGGATATTTTTACACTATGCGGATAATTAAGCACTGGAACGGGTTGCCCATAGAGGCTGTGGAATTCCCATCCTCAGAGTTTTCAAGACCCCCTGGGAAAATTCATCTGAATTCAGTGTGACCATGCCTTGAGCAGGAGGGTGGGCTCTGAGGTTCTCTCCACCCTAAATGATTCTGCATTTCTCTGCCCATACCCGCCACCTACCACCAAGCCTTGCCATACCACTTGGCTCCACTACGTTCTTAAACAACTCAATTATGTCAAAAGGTCTTCCTGATTACTTATGTTCTAAAGCTTACATCACCAACATATTCTGATGAATGGCCTGTCTTCCTTTCTCTCACCCAAGTATCCTATTTCTCAACAGGGCACCCAAGAGCCCTGTATTTCTCCAACAATTCTTCCAAAGTACAAATATTTCTCCTTACACCACTCATCCTGGCGCTGTCCAACTTCTTCTATTCAAAGCCCTCCACCTCTAATTCTGTAACTCATCCAACTCCCCCACCTCACATCCTTCTCACAACTTCAAGTGTCATCTCTCCAATTCAGATTTTACACTACACCCTTAGCTCTCCCACTGCAGGATTTTCCCCCTTTTTTTCCTGCTGCTCAGTTTCTGTATTGTGCCTTCCCAAATACTGCTTCAACCATTAAGCTATCCTACCCACTGAGCACCAGCGGTTGCGCACCAACTAGCCACTTTATCTAGTCAAGTCTCTTCTCATCTGCTTCTCCCCACATAAAAGAAGCCTAGCTCCTGCTCTGATAGTGTTTTCAAAAGAATCAGACACATGCTGGAGATAGAAAAATTCTCTTTGGGCTACTCCAGGAGCAGAAGGACAAAGACATGTCTGGGAAAGTACATAGCCTGTGGGTGTATCTCTATATGATGGCTAAATTGAGCAATAATGGCAAAGTTTTAATGAAATGCTGTTAAGATCAAGTTATATAATACTTATTACAAGTCTATATTAAGCAATTTTAAAATATACACAAAAGAAACTCAATTAAAACGTAAAAACTAGAACAAAGAATTACAGAACATAAAATAAAATGAGTCTCAGAGTCGGCATATGTTCCTTTTCAACTCTACAATGTGTTTGGGCAGTATTCAGACACAATACTGACGGTGAGCATGCTAGTAGTTTGCTTCCACCTGGTGGAAAGTAGACAGATAAACGTCACGCATTGCGGATAACTTACGAAGCATCAGTTTGCAGGGAGTTCAGAAACCTTCCTTGTTCCAAATTTAGCCTGTATACTTCAGAACTACAAAGGAAAAAGCCAAAATTACTGAAAATACTGTTGTAAGTTAGAAGGAGTTATAAAAATTCCTGCTGACTGCCTAATTTTACCACATACACAATTTTCAGAGTTCACAATCTAAAACATAAGACAAATCTAACCTTCAGTGTTAAAAATACAGAGAAAAATGTGCATGTTCACCAGAGATATTTATTACATTGCAATATCCTACCAATTACTCTTTTTCCAGGGAAAAGATGCATTAATTCCTTTCTTAAGATCTTTTAATTTCCTATGATTTATGTTACATCTTGAATTGCTACTTATTTTGTTTGAAACCCTAAAGACCGAATTTTATTTTTACTACGTCTTCTCACAAACTCAATTAATTATTTTATGTGATTTGACTCACACTTTAACAGCAACAAAACATCAACCAGGATAGAAAAAGTTATTTAATTTTCCTTACTTAGACGCCAATCACTTTTTAAAACAGTACATTGAATTGCAATTTTTATAACAAATTTGCAAATACATCAGGTACCTGGTTTAAGAATCAAAGTATAAAAGTCTTTAAACAGTACAGAAAACTGAATCAATCTTAGTCTTCCCACATTTTCCACTCTTCACAAACAGTCTCCATTATTAATTTGGAAGGAATTGCTGCCACTTCCAATTTTTAACTTTTCTGGTATTTTAATGTTCATTTTATTCTTGGAAAACATTGCTAACAAAAGTGAAACAAAATAACCCACTTAATCAGTACCTTGCTCCTACAAAATACAGGTCACACGATGGATAGTGATAAGAGAAATCTCTACCAAATTTTGGTATTCTTGTTCTGTAGTAATGGCCATGTTGCGAATGAAACTCCACAAACCTGTCGCACTGCAGGAAGACAATCTGAAAATAAAACAGAAAGCACTGAAACATACAGAAGATGACAATCTCCTCAACTTGTCTCACAGCACAAACTCCAGCTATTTTTTTCAAGCTCACACAGATCTATCACAATGCATTTAAATAATTTCCATTAAAATGACAGAATCAACTAGTGCATCATTCTCACTAGCCACAGCAAAGAGCTTTATTAATAAACATTAAATTAATATTCACAAGAGTGTATGTGACACCCTGAAAGTGACTCTGCAAACAGAAGCAGTATAGTCATCTCAGTGTTGTGCTGCACCAAAATCAACACCTGTACTTCTTTCAGACACCAGAGTTAATAATTTCTTCCAGGTACAATGTCACGCAGACACCAATATGTTCATAGTACTAAGCACGTGAACTACGCATCCTGATGTACGGCAGCATCCCAATAAATGACACCAATGACCTTTGTGCATTTTTTTGTTGTTTGTCAATTGAATAAGAACATTGTTCCTTTCTGAAACTTAGACAAACATCTCAGTCCTGGAAGAGCCCACAGGGAGGCATTACTAGAAGGCTAGACCTATACTAGTAAACAAAATAGGCCAGAACCTGCCCCTATAGTCCTGATGGCAAGTTAACATGGCACAACTCATATCCACATGAAGGAATTCTTCGCACTCCAAACAGAGACAGTATCATCCACACCATCCATTACACTGATGCTGTACCTCAAACCATGCCCAGGCATTGTCAGATGGAGGAACAGTTGGCCTGGCCCAAATTTATGCCACAATACATGCAAACAGTTAAATGATATGGATAATCACAGGCTAACTATTGACTCTGAGCCTCATCCCTATTTAGCTTAGATTAGAAAAGTGCTCGTTTAGTTTGGAGTATGTATAGTCCATGCATCTTCTAAAAGTAGTAGATAAGGAAGATTTTAAATTTCCTGCTGATGGACTACATTGTTAGCAATGCAAATAAGGATGCAAAGCTCAGGAAAGGTGAGGTACAAAAATTATTCTGAATCTGTCATCTTTATGTATATATCTGTGTATTCTTCCCTTACGAGACACGGATAAAGCACTGACCTAGGCTAGTACTTTATGCCTATTTATCGTTAAGTCCCCCCTTACTTATGCTTTTTCTGATATGAGAAACCCTAGTGTTTCAACTTTTATTCATGGACTCACCCATCTTCATCTAAGACCAAGTAGAGTATCATCTTTCAGAAGCGTAACTACGATTTCATATGAGATTACAGATGCAGCTGCACAGTTGATGGTATAAAATGATTTTTTTCATATACATCCCAATCAATCCCTTGTGTACCTAACGCCTTTATGCTTTTAACTGGAGGTTTACAACAAGCAAAGCTCTTTATTAATCTGTTTGAAGCAATGCCCAGATCAAATCTTTTCTCTATCATCATTGCAAAACAAAAAATGTCTGCATCTTCATGCATAAACTACATGAACTGTGAGAACATAAAATTAAACCATAGTTAATTTAAAAATATCAGTATCACATTCTCTTAGTTCACTACCAGTAACCCATCAAAAACCTGTTACCAGGAAAAGATGCTGTTTGGTTTCAATGAGAAAAGCGAATTTTCTTCTCACCCACTCTACCTCCGAAAAGACTTTAGAAACTTTTTGAAGGTTGCCAAAAGCAATCAAATATTCTGCTAATGACTGCCTTACCTCTAATAATTTTCTGGTTTAAGATAAATTTCTATAATATGGGACTTGAAGATATTTGTATTCTCTTTCATTAGCAGTGGATACAACTCACTGTAAATCATGTTTGTCTTTCCTTCATACTAAATTAATTTTGGTCACTCTCAGAAAACTACAACCTCAGGGTAGCAAAAGTATAGTCACCGATGCGTGGCAAAAATACTGAGCAGAAATACATGTCTTTTTGCAAAGGGCTGTGGAAAAAGAGGTATTGCTCTCTCCTAAGTCTGAAACTTAGTCCAAGTCTAGAACTTTTAAGTCTAAAACTTAGGAAAGCACAGAAGTGTAACTGGCCTTATGGATACCAATATGAATGAAAGCCAACAGCATGCTCTCACTGTGAAAATGCAAATAAGCCTCAAAAGGCAACCTTCTGAGGATAGTGGGAGCAGACTGGGGAGAAGCTATTTTCCCTGCGCTACTAAAGCATGAGGCAGTGTGTCTAGTGTTGGGCCACCCAGATCAAGAGGGATGTTGAGAGCATCAAGAGGGCTACCAAGACAGACACGGGGCAGAACACAAAACGTACAAAGAAGGGTTGGAAGAATCTTAGCTTGTTTAGTCAGGCAAAGAGCACCCTGCAGGACAACCTAATAGCAGCCAGCAACTGAAGAGTCAAACTCTTTGCAGTAGCAACAGTGAAAATTTCAGATTTTCCTGGGCAGGTTGGACAGGAAGGAAAAATTCTTTACAATGAGGTAGTGCAGCATTACAGCAATTTATTCAGTGAATTTGTGAAACTGCCATGCTTGCAGTTTTTGACAGTCCTGTTCAAGCATTAAATGACATCTGAAGGCCCCCTTCCAATCAGTATTTTTATGATTCTAAGCATTTCAAGTGTAATTTCTCAAATATTGTTCCCTCTAACATGTTCAAAACATTATGACAGCTACCAGCAATTAGTTTTCTTTCTAATGATTTGTTAAGTTTTAGGAAAATAAAATTGAAAACAATGTTGTATTAAGTTGTGAAAGTAGGGCTTCAGTCTGAAATATAGTACCAATTTCAGCTGGAAAACACACACAAACCTTACTGTTCATAAGCAGTCAGAAACATATTTGAAAACACAGTGTGTTCCTCAGCCTCCCAAATAACTGTTTGGTCTGTACAACCAGAAATATTCTCCCACAGACAGACAAGTGGGAGGCTACTATACTGTATCAGTCACCCTCTTCTGCTGCTTGAATTCATGCACATTCTTGGAAATCTCAGAGCGGATAAATTTTGAAAAGACTAAAGCTAGAAGGCTAGATGATAACATGCCTGATCAAACAGAAATATTTATTAAAACCAACACGTACCAGAAATGCTAAGGTCTCTTCTCAGAAAAAAAGTATTAAAATAACCACTTAACAAAAAAAAATTAAAAAAAATAATTAAAAAAGCTTGTCCTAATGAAATTAGCAAAACTGTATGCTTAAATTTCATATTTAATTTGGAACATAACACTTTCATGAATCAGCAAAGTTTACAGAAAGAGGTAACATCCTTTTATCACACCAATTGCTGAAGAAAACAGCCAGGCGTGAAATAGAATTAGAAGTGCTAACGGTACTGGGCCTGAAAAAGGGTTGATGGTCCCAAGAACTCAACTGTTTCCTCCAGGTACGGCACATCATAAAAAAAGAAAAGGAAAAAAAAAATGTTACTTCTCTCCACAATTTTGGCATCATTCATATGCTTTAATCATCATGGCTACAACATCACCGAAAAATCAGGCTATTAACTTACTTATAGCTATCCCACCTGTCAAAAATGGTGTATCTGTGTATCACTTGTGACAAGGGATTATGACTAAATGTCATTCTAGAAAGAATAACTAATTCTGTTTTTCACATTATTTTGTTTGTAGGATAGATAACTATTTGAACTTTTTCTCTACTACAGACAAAAGACTTTAAAAGTGGTAAGGCAAATTATAATAAAAAGAGGCAAAGAAAACAAACAACATTTTGAAGCTACAAAAAATGTTTATCCTGTTTGCTTTTTAAAAAAAAACCTTTTCTGTTCCAAAAGTTGTGTTGATTGACTGCCTTTACTATATATGAAAATGCATTTTAATATACATATTAAACAATTTTTTCATTTATACATTGAAAACATTAAACATACCTTTGAGTAATCATCTGATAAAATCTCAAATGTAACCACTAGAGGAGAGAGCAAGAGAATTTTAAGTCAACTAAGTAAGCAAACTTATTTGCAAACATTGGCATAAATCCTGAAAACGTTTACACTCATGCTAACCTTTAGTCATGTAAGTATTCCCCACAGGTGTCAATGCATAATGCAGGCATTGTGATAAAATCTTTAATTATATAACTTTATCTGCAAAATAGTAAGTAGTTTTCTAAAACTTTAGAAACATATGAAGCATCTTGTAATCTTTTGATCATTCTTGTGTACTTGACATGTTCCTCAGCACAATGCTCAACCATGTATTTATTGGCTCGGGGAAGGTCTAATCAAATGGTTTTCAGTGAGTGTGTGGTCCATGGACCTTTGGTAATCCATCAAGGATGATAAAAAATGACATGAGTTCAGACATGTGATCCTTCTAAGGGGTCAGCACTTCCACAGAAAAAGTTTTAAGGCTCAAAAAAAAAAAAAAAAAGAAAAATCACAAATTTGAAAGCTACTATCTGTGCTGAGCACTGCAACATATTGAACTTTGCCTAGTTTTAAATGAGTTGGGTTGGGAACATTAGGGAGTAGCTGCTTCAGCTAAATTGTTCCATTTAAATGAGGTAGCTCATTTAAAGTTACCTGAAGTGACTCTATGCTACATTTCAAATTAAACATCCTTCTGCAGTCTAGTAAGATGCCAGTTGAAAAAAATTTTACTTTAAGCTCTAATTACCAGCAAGCATTTACTATTACAATGACTCCTACTCTTTTAAAGCAGGTCTTACTCTTGCCATAGCTTCCTCTCCCCACCTCTCTGAACCCCTGCCCCTACCACCTCCCTTCTTACTATGTTGTAGCCCTGTCCCTTCGCCCTACACAGTTCCCTTGTAGTCCTGAGGCACAGTGTAAAGAAACACCACCACACTCTACTCCCCTTTTCCTGACCTAATGCAGTAGTTCTCAATTTTAATTTTTCACATCACTTTCACACACATCACAGCTAGACCAGTTTCATTCTTCTGTAATGATTTAGGACTTCTGCCACTCTATGCTCATCCCCTCATTGCTTCGGTCAGCCCTGTATTCCAGTTCTCAGCCATCAGACTTCTAACAAAAAAACAAACCAAACAAAAAAAATCCCACCACACCATTCACCAAATCTATGCACCCTAAAACTCAAGAGCCACAGCAGCTCTGACCTCCTCCCCTAGTCTAACTGCCAGCAGATTCTCCCTTTCCCGTTGTCTAGATGGCTCCTTGCTTTCCTCACCATAGCAGTTCTCCCTCCAAATTAGTAGCAAACAAGGTGTGATTAGGGCCTTGGCCATGCTACCATCTATCCCTAAGTATCTTGTTCCCAAGAAAACAAACAAAAAACCAAACCAAACAAACAAACCATCCCACTCTCAGGGAATTCTCTTTACCCTGTAACTCACCTACTGAGCTTGGGCTCCAGCGAGAACTCATTTCAGTAATGATAGCGCAACCACAGTGCATTCTCCTACCTTACTGCTTCACAGAAGGGTAAAGGAGATAAGGCCACTACCCAGCCATCGTACCCGCGTCACATTCCCCAAACAGAGTGCAGACTTTAGCCACATTTACTCTCTGAGCCCCACACCTACTGGCTCAAGGTAAATCTTACATTCCTCACACCACTCCAAGACAGGAATGAACTTTGAAGGAGGAGGAAAAGGGAAAAATACAGAGATAAAGACTAGGTGACGTTTTACTCTAGATTCTTGTGCTCCCCCAAAGTACATTCTGTCCCCTCAGCACAGGCAAGGAAATTTCTACTCAAGTCCAACCTGAATTGTATATGAAAGGTGTCTTGCACTAACAGCCATAGCTTATACTAACCTTCAGAATCTAAGCATCTTTCAAATTTCTGGGATAACTGATAGGTATCAAAACAGCGGACCCTTGGCTTGTAAGTTCCTGAAAGAATAATTTGATCTTTAATAAAAAAATTAAACAAAAAAGATACCATTAAAGCTTTTTTTTTTTTAAAAATATAATATCTTACATATATAGGCTTTACTGCATTTCAACTGTAAGTATTCTGATCTTACCAAAGTCTCTGTGACTGGAAAAACATGCCTCTTAGTAACATAACCTTACAGCCTGTTTTTTGTCTCTGGCACCTGAAAGCACCCTACCTGTATGTAGGTTCTTCTGATTACCAGATACATCATACAGAATTTAATAATACCTTCCAATAAGTCTGAAAGACCAAGTCTCCTTAAACTATTAACGCCTACTAAAGTATTCATGTTTGGATCCTGCTTTGACAGTTACAAAACGTAGCATTATCCTCCATCCTTTAAAACAATACTCAAACAATGATGTTCAGAAGTTATTTAAAGCAAATTTATATACAGAATATATATATATAAAACAGAATATATATATATAACAGAATAAAGTTAATTAGGAACTTAGTTTTTAACTGTATTATAAACAGTTCAGTTTTTAATTGTATTATAAACCCCCGGTGGCAGGGGTGTTGGGACTAGATGATCTTCAAATGTCTCTTCCAACCCAAACCATTCTATGATTCTAAGAACATCTGTATTCCAAAAACAAGTGTTTCACAATACCCCTACCAAGACAGCCACTCAATCACATCTTAAGACTAAGTTTCCAACACTCTGTTCAATGCTGCATTTAAAAATGAACTCTTATCAATTCTACCTGAAATACTAAGTCATTCTGCAATCAAGATTTTCTAGCACTTTTGGCCTCTGCTACAGAGAGACACTTTGTTAACTCACCAACTGCCATAACATACTGTCCATCTCTTGACACCTTAATCTTTGTGCTAACGGTGGGCATTTCAAAGTCTTGAATAAGTTCAATTCTTCTACGGATATCTATACAGAAAAATAAATTTTTTTTGTAAAGGTAGCGCAATTGTATCAGTGCAAAAAACTGTAATGGTTTCTTACGGAAGCATGCTGAGTTAATTGAATATAGGGAATATCTTTTAAGATCTTTTAAAGTATAAAGACCTTTTGAGTATAATTAACACATTACAAGCAGATTAATAGTCTGTTAACCCTGAGAAGCAGGCTACCTCCATGCAAAATAAATGTCTGTTCTGAGGTAACTAAGTAACAAATTATTATATAACATAGTAGCAAGTATTTTTCATATATTTTACACAACTAACATGTTGTATAATGTATTCCACCCTCCTGTTAACTCTGTGCATTTTTTTGTTGGTTGAGTTTCTTATACAACACTTCCTATAGTATGTAAATAGCCATTTTTATTTTGTATAACAAGTTTAGGCTAAAACAGTGGTGTTCCTGCACTCTAAGATTAGCATAATACCATAGAGGAGTTTATAGCTGGACTTTATCATAAGCTATAGATGGAGTCCATCCATCACGTTTCTGTACAATCTACAACCCCAATATTTAATGTCTGAAATTGAAAACAATATTGGTAATATTCTGTTCACATAAAGCTACAGAGGCTGTTGAACTAGCCTCTGACTATTTCTAGCTCTGACTTTGTAGTTTTTAAAATGCGAGCTATGCATAACTTCCTCATATCAGTTAATAAAGTGTCTCCCTCTGGACCCACATGTTGTATACGTGTAGCCGACAATCAGCGAGGGCCCCGTAACGGGAAAACTCACCCACATCTTTCTTCTGTAAAGCTCTTTTCTTCCTGTCTGAGAGCCACTGAAAGGAAATGCATAAATCAGTCTTGAGCTCATTATTCATAAAGGAACTAGAGAATTGCCTGAAGTTTGGAAGAATAAGACATTTATGCCGCTAACTTTTTTTCCTCGACTATTTTAAAGTTTCCACTGCGAAGTTTAGCCACTCCACACCAAGAAAAGTTACAAAGTCGCGTTTTTTAAGGGCCTGCAGAACGACACACCTACAGTTAGAGATGCACGCGTTCAAGCCGCAGTTTGAGCTTAAAAACTCCTTAGAGCTGGTTGTAGTTAACGACCCCCACCCTCCACACAAGCGCATGTGGCGGAGGGGCAGCTCAGCCAGCCGCTCGGGCCCGGCCCAGAGCTCCGGCCTAGGCCGCACAGCCCGCCCTCAAAGCCGGCTCCTGCTGCTGCTGCTGCTGCAGGACCCGCCGGCTCGGCTCCGCCCCCGCCCGGCCCGG